AAAAAATAAAATAATTTAATTAATTCAATATAAAAAATAAAAAAATTATTTAGTTTCGGTTCTTATTTGATTCTTCGGTGCTCGATCTAGACCCGAGACCCGACCCAAACCCATCGGTGCTCGATTCGGGTACCCGTTCGGGTATTTAATTTATGAAGAACCGTTCGGTTCGGTTCGGTTCGGGACTTTTGGACACCCCTATCATCAAGTATTTGAAATATGATTTCAAATATTATTTAAGACAATATGGACCATTGATTTTAAATAATATAATTTGCATGGCACGTGACCCATGTATAATTGAAAATTGTAAATTTGAGTTGGGATTGGACATTTTGTTTGTTTGTCTCGTCACTTGTCTTCTCCAAGCAAGGGATCCAGGCTTTTTTATTTTTTTCATTTTTATCTTTGCTTAAAGCCAGTAAGGCCAACTTACTTTTACCATCACCACAGACAGTCTAATTTCAATGATTTTTCATAAATTTTGTTAGTTTTACAAAGGTGTTTTTTAAGGCCTCTTGGCTTATGGGTGAATAGAAACTATGAACATCGACATCGCGAATTTTAATGTTTTATTAGACAAACTTTGACAGTAGAGAAAATTTAATCAACTAACTATCGGAGCTGAATACTCGTTGATTTTACAAATATCGCATAATATAGCATATATGTTTATAGTAAAATGTAACAAAGTCGTGTTGGTTTTTACCCAAATTTAATCAATGGTGGCAAGACCACACGGACATTACATATCCCTATGTTTTATTAGACAAACTTTGACACTAGAGAAAATTTAATCAACTAACTATCGGAGCTTAATACTCGTTGATTTTACAAATATCGCATAATATAGTACATATGTTTATAGTAAAATGTAACAAACTCATGTTGGTTTTTACCCAAATTTGGTAAATAAAAGGAGTCGCATTGCGAAAGGGAAAAAGAATTTTAGTTAGGCAATAAATATGAAATAATGCAGTAAGGTGAAAAAACACTTTTTCACTGAGGAAAGGGAGCAAGGAGATAATTCCTAGAAGAATTGTATTGAAAAAGAGAATCAATTTGTAATTAGGAAAAGAACTCCTAATGCAATAGGTAAAAGAAATTTGCCATACGGGAGGGTCTTTCGACTCTTTCCTATAGTTTCATGGCATCATATTGAGAATAATTGTATTTGGCACCAATATGACGAGAATTCGAACCAAAAATTACTTACATCCAAAATTATAAGAATTTATGGAGAGAAAATTGTTGGAGAGAAACTACAAATAATAATGATACGAACTTTTATGTTTTTCTTTTCTTAGGGAGAAGTTGTGCTAGTGGGAAAACATTATATTGTGAAGTTTCCTTAATTAATAAAGTATTTCTCTCATGTGATTGTTGACAAGTCAAATCAGGTTTAATTATGTTTTTCGCTTTCGACTCATTTTCTCATTTTATTTCCTATGTGCGATAAGTGAAAATCTTTCACTACAATATCGATGGTGCCGATATGTTTTATGTCAAATTAATGTAAATATTTCCACTTTCCCATACGTTGTCGTCAATTGAGCAAATAAGGATTGGCTGACGCCAATAAAAGTCATTATTAATTCGATGACTGTTGGAAATTGAACATGAATCAAGCTACATTACCAGGGCCGCATAGGCCCTAGTAATGCTAGGGACCTGGCAAAGGGGTTTAACCGATTGAACATTGAGGCAGTTGGAAATGTTTGCATGTGACACAATTTATTATTAGTTCAGTACAAATGTACGATTCTGCTGCATTTAGCATATGGCACAATTTATTATTAGTCCAGTACAATTTTGTATTTAGTGCATCTTACCTAACATTTGTTGCCAAATTAATGAATTGTACAATCAAAAGAAAAAAAACGAAAAAAATAAGTAAAAAAATAAGGATAATGCTAGTGATACATAATTTTTTGCACTAAATACAAAATTGTACTGGACTAATAATTGTGTCGTATTTTAAAGGCAGCAGAATCGCACTGAACTAATAATAAATTGTGTCACATGCTAACATTTCCAGCTGCCTCAGGGCCACCATGTGAATGTTATGTGATCCCTATGGATAAAAATTATATACCCATAGCATCACTCAAAAAACAAAGATGAAACAAGGTATATCAATACTATTCTTTTTAAGATAGATTTCGTCACTTGCAAAGGTAACAACAAGATTATCGGGTGTCCGTTTCTCAAAATACAACGCTTCTTCCAAAGTCTGTGTTGTACTATACCAACATTGTCAGTAGAACCAAACTGTTGACAGTATTTTTCTCAAATGAAAGAAACTCGAACTAAACTTGTTCGGATAGGCTTTTATTTCTAAAAATTAATTCGGACGAAATTTTAATTTCAGAAAAATAAGACGAATAGAATTTTTGAAGAGAATAGATAATTATAAATCAATTTTATAACTTAAATTGATTTTGTGTAGGATTTAATGGAATATGGGATCTTGTATATTGAATTTCAAGTGTCTCTAATGAATGGATTCACCATTTGGTTCGGATAAATCTGAGTCCTTAGATCGCATTGCTTCAGATTGTGCAGTCCATATTGTATCCCTCCGCCGTGGTCTTGCCACGTGATTGCCAACTTACCGAGCCATGATTCCAATTCTGAAAATTTAAGGCTGCACAATTCCTCGCGAGTCGCGACGATGCATACGGGTTGTGAGATTTTCTCATCTAGTAAACTATTTTTCTCATGTAACTAGTGACGATTTGTCAAATCACGTTTAATTTTGTTTTTTGGTCTTCCGACTCATTTTCTAATTTTTATTTCCGTTGTGTGTTGGGTGGAATTTTTTCCCAAAAATATGGATAGTGTTGGCCGTATGTTTAGTGTAAAATTAATTTGAACGTTACTTCTTTTCCCATACCTTGTCATCAATTGACCAAATAAAAATTGGCCAACACAAATAGAAGCCATATGATATGACTAATTCATGATGCCTGCTGAAAATTGAACATTGAGGTGGTTGGCAATTTTTAATGTTAGCATACTGACACACTTTTTAGTTCAGTACGATGCTGCAGCATTAATTAGTGCATTTTAACACCTTTATATAGAATTGGTAGGTTAATTCATTGGAAAATCAAGGTATTTGTTTCTGATTTTCCACAAACAGTTAAAAATGTCTGAGAGAAGAGATGACAGTGTCACTGTTAACATTGATAATATGCTTAATAACTTGTCTTCTACACCTTCAAAGCCCTCAATGTTTAGAGTTGCTGACAATTTACGCAGCATAAATCCAGAGGCTTATGATCCACAAATAATAGCCATTGGCCCATTTCACCGCAGTAAACCTAGCTTGCAGAAGATGGAGCAACTCAAAGTCAGGTATCTAAAGCTGTTTCTTCAAAGAAGAAAAGAGTCAAGTGTAGAAAGATATGTTACCACAATAAGACACTTAGAAGACAGGGCGCGGAAATGTTATGCTGAAGACATCAAACTTGATAAAGATAAGTTCGTGCAAATGTTGATTCTTGATGGTTGTTTTATCATCGAATTTCTTTATATGTTTTTACACCCATATTCTTGGGATGAAGACAACCCTATTGTCCAGTATGAACCTATACAACGTCAATTGCTTCATGATCTAATGGTATTTGAGAATCAGATTCCATTTTTCATCGTTGAACGTTTGTTCAACGTGATCAAGATCAATGATCGAGACAAAATCAATATTATAATATGGCCTTTACTGCCAAATTGCATTTTCCCATTGGACGATCGTTATGAAGGCCCTATTACTGGTCACCATCTTCTTGGCATTGTACACGGCATCCAATGTTCTTCATTTGCAAATAGATTATCTCATAGGGGTTATGAATATACACATAATATAGATTCAGCTGCAGAGCTCGAGAAGGCAGGCATTTCCTTCGAAAAGTCAGAATCTGGTAGTTTGTTTCATATTAAATTTGAAAATAAAGTTATGAGGATTCCAAAATGGGAAATTTCTGATTCAACAGAATCATTGTTCCGAAACATGATTGCATATGAGCACTACAACACAGAGAGTCCTCAAAAATATGTGACGGAATATGTATTCTTCATGCATTGTCTCGTCCATTCCCCTGAAGATGCAAAAGTGTTGCAACACTCTGAAATCATTATAAACCATTTGAGGAACAATGAAATGGTTTACGGTGTAATCAACCAGCTAGGAAAGAATATCATAATTTCTGATGAGTTTCCATATTCTAATATTTTCTTCGATGCAAATCGTCATTGTGCAAAAAGAAGGAATAGATGGATGGCAACATTAAAGCGAGAATATTTCAGCAATCCATGGACAACCAGCTCAGTCTTTGCAGCTATTTCGTTGCTTGTGCTCACCTTCATACAGGCTACGTTTGCTATTCTCTCATACTGTAAGTTATTTCCTAAGTCTCGTATGTTCTTAATTAATTATTTGGTTGGTAAATATGAATAGTAAGAGAAAGAGTTGCTGGTTTCACAAGATAAATTGTATCGAAATGAAGGCTTAGTGTAGAATGACTCATCGAGTAAGCTATTAGGATTTGACCTTGGATTGTTTCCTTAAAAAGGAAGATTCTACCTTTCTTTGAAATGCATAAGTGATACATTTGCTGCGTCCAGTGAACTACTAAAAGAAATTTATATATTATCCAATTGTTTAACTGTGTGCATGTTATTGCAGGCAATGATCTCAAGAAGGGGAACTGATTCTAAGTGTTTGAAGCTAGCAACAATGTATGGCAACTCAAATTACTATTCACTTCAAGGACGAGGCAGAGCCTAAAATCCTGAATTATAATATTTATGATGGCCTGCACAATGAATAAAATTCAGTCACCATTTCATCATTCTAAAAACTAGTTGTTCTTCGTTTTTCTTTTGTGATAGTTTTTTTTTATTATGTGTAATTTTTTATTTTATTTTTGTGTGTTAAATGTAATATTTTAGTTAATTAAATGAAATTTTTATTTAGTTATGTTAGTAGTAATATAATTTATAATTAAATATTTTTTTATTATCCAGAACTAGAAATCTATTTATTTATTTTTGATGGTGTCTTTTAATAAACATAAAATGAAGGTCTTTAAACGTTAAATGTGGCCTTTTTTGACAAATCAACTACACAGATGGATCAGAGCATAGTGAACTGCAAATTTTTCTCCAATCATGGCTGTTGGGGGTAAAAGAAGTCTCAAAAATGGAAAATATGATGGATTTATAAGTGTAGGACAATACTCTATTAGTGTGAGGCATTTTGGGTAGTATCCAAAAAGCAAATTCTGGGCCCAAAGCTAACAATATCATACCAATGTGGAGTTTGGCGGATCCCAACACGTGGTATCAAAGCCCAGTGCCCAAAAAACTTAGTCGGAGGAACGCAGTGGAAAGCATGGTGGAGGTCCCCCTCTAATTAGCCTTGCATCGACTATAAATCATCAGCGTTTGAGGTGCCTTATATCGAAAGTCTTCCTAACATAAAAATATGGTGGTCAGGCGGCGGGTCCCATTTGGTCGAGGGCGACGACAATAACAGCGGTACAAGATGATTGGCTAATAGATTATCGTTTGAGGAGAGGCCACAATAATGTGGTCCTTCGTTTGAAGGGAGGATTGTTAGGAGTAAAAGAAGTCTCACATCGGCTAGACATGAGAAATATGATGGATTTATAAGAATGGACAAATACCTCCATTGGTATGAGGCATTTTGGGGTAAAACCCAAAAAGCAAATTTATGAGGGATTAGGCCCAAAGTGGACAATATCATACAAATGTGGAGATATGTGATGTCCATAGCCCAACAATGGCCTCACGTGGTTGCTAAAAATTTTTAGTGAAGTTGGACTGAAATTAATTTATATGTATTGAATAAAAAAGAATGATGGAAGATTTTATTTTATTTTATTTTTTTTGGTAAAATCAGATAAGGAGAGAAGAAGAGGAGAGTAAAAACCACGAAGAAGAAAGGAGAGAAAAAAGAGAAGATATTTATATTGTCCTTTGACCTTACTAGTTAATATTCTCTAATAACAAAGTATATTTTGCCCGACTTCTTAAAACTCATTTTTTTCTCCAAACTCGATCATGCAAAGAAGTGAAATTGAAAACCTTGTGGATTGTAGGTGTTTACCTGCATTCTTGTTCGGGTCATCATTGCTGTTTTCTGATTATCCCTTCTTCTCCGCCTTTTCATGACTTTCACTTTGTCATGATTCTGAATGAGAAGCATCCCATTCAGATATTGTTTTATCCTTGCCGTCTAGATTTTTCATATAAAGAGGCTGTTAGTGTAATATGATGAGGGTAGTGGGAGACAGTGCCAGCCCATAAAAATTGTAGAATTTTAGACCAAATATTAACATTAGCCCAATGAAAAAATTCATAGGTCAGGGATTATCTTTCACGAAATCAAAAATCAAATCTCAAGGTTTAAATTTACAAAACTCAGGTTTTTCCATGAATTAATTAATTATATTTTACAATTAATCTATTAAATTAAATATTTAACTGTAATATAAATTACTCCACCCAACGATCGGCAACTACTCCAACGACCGGCGACCACTCCGGCAACTATTCTCCGGCCTCGCTTAATTCCCGCCAACATTTTTCGGTGACCGTTAATTCTGGTAACTGCTTCAATTCCAAGGTCACAGATCAAAAAAATTATATGTTATATGTCACGTATTTTCAAATTTGTGGGTTACAGATTCCTTTTTTTAGTTACAAATTATCAATTTTGAAGTCACAGTTCAATAGCTAGGTCACAGACACCAGAAAAAACACCACAGTTCAATAGCGAGATCACAGACACCCAAAAAAACCACCACAATTCAATAGCTAGATCACAGACACTAGCTAGGTCACAGACATCAGAAAAAACCACCACGGTTCAATAGTAAGGTCACAGACACCAAAAAAACACTACAGTTCAATAGTGATATCACAGATACTAGAAAAAACCACCACGGTTCAATAGCGAAGTCACGGACACCAAAAAAATCACCACAGTTCAATAGCTAGGTCACGGACAGCAAAAAAAACCACCACCGCTGACCCCGCCAAAACAATAAGAAAAAACAACCACCACCACACGGATCACCACCACACGACCATCACCACAGCCCAAAACATAACACCACAGATCCACCACTTCTACAACCACACATCCCCAGTTGCAGGCTACACAACAATAAACTCAACTTCCATTAGCTACTGACCACTTACATACGAAACACACAAAGCACAAACACCATCATCACGCTCCACCTCAGCCACCACAAAATCCCCGAAGAAATACCACAAATCGGGATATGGAATAGATCTCCACGAAGCGGACGACCACAAGTGTTGCCCCGACGCAGCAGCGTTATGGGTCACAGGAGCGTACCCACAGTTGCGCAAGACCATGGCAGCAGCGCAGTGAGCTTCTGCGAATCGCATTAGCGTCGCAGTGACGCTGCTACGATTCGCAGCAGAAGGAAGGGGAGGGAGGAGACGGAAGAAATGGGAGAAGAGATGAGAGGAGTAGGGTTTGAGAATTGAAATTTGGGGGTATGGTGGGTATATATTTAATTTAAAATATTATTATTAATATTAATTGTGAAATTAAAACCTGATTTTTGAAAATATCAAACTAAACACCTGGTTTAGTGTAATTTTCCCTTAGCCCAACTCTAATTTGAGATAGCCCAACATTGTTCCACATCCCAAACAAAATCTTAAGAAGAAATTGTAGAACTTTGGCCCAAATATTAGCTTTAGCCCAGCTATAATTTGAATCTCAACTCAAGTCCAATGTTCAATTATTCAAATTGTATTAAAGACCCTACAATTATTAATTACTCTTTTCATGACATTTATAAAACGTGAATATTTTATTATCAAATTAGATATTCTATTTAATGCAAGTTTGACTAAATTTACTTATAATTATTAATTAAATTTTATTATAGATAATTTGTATTGATTAGAAGTAAATTACTTATTTTAATAGTTAGAGACACTACATATTTTACTAAATTTAAAAGTAATTAATTTTTTTTTATTTCTACGTATGTAATCATATATTACTTATTCATACTTATAAAAAAATTACTTATTTTGATCAAAAAAAGATATTATGATCAAAATAAATAATTTACTCTCGATTCGATATTGACAATAAAAAGAATATTTATTAAAATCTATTTATTTATAAAGTAATCTATACATAAATATATTCTTGAAATCAAGCCAAAAATGGACGTGAATTAAATTTAATTTATTTGACCCTCGAAATTCTTAATTGATTTTTATCACTTTGGTCGAGATTCTTCACTCACTTTGAAATGTGGTGATATTAAAGATCGATAATAATTTTTTGAGACAATAACATATGGATTATAGTGATATGTTATCGACTGCGTGTTTCGATCAAGCTTTCAGTTGTTTGGAAAAATTGGTCGTCAAAGTTACTAGAAGAGTACCCGTTAAGTAATTTTTTAAATTTTCATTGGTGGATATGTATTTTTGCTTATTTCTGTCATGATTTAGTCAATTTATATTTTTTAAGGCGAGCATCGATTTTATATTTGGTAAAAAAAAAATACTAAGATTCAATGGAATATCTTAATATGAGATATCTAAATTATTTTTATTTCATTGAGTTCTGTATACTTTTATCGTGAATTTCACGAGAATAGCTTCCAAAACTCAATTTTTGTGGCTTGAGTTCATTCGAAATTTTTTTAAGTTTTAGTTCATCCTAACATCATTTTCTGACTCCGCTCCTATACAACCAAGACATGGAATAGAACAGTGATGTCAATGCCATCCCTCATAAAATCACAATTTTATTTAGCTAATATAGACCTAAATGCATGTGTAATCTCAATCATACAATTAAGATGTGAAGTGTTGGCTACTTTTATGAATGCATGAAGCATGAAGGACATATCAAAGATAATTTTTTTCCCGTTTTAAAACTAAATTATTTAGCTGTTTACCCTCATTTTTGTTCGACTTACAAATGTCTTTTTTGATAATCCCTTGTTCTCAGCCATATTTTTTACTGTCATTATGGGTGGATCCACGAGGTAGACACATAAGAAAGTCAATGTAATAAAAATTTTCTATAACAAAAAAAAAAAAAAAAATGTTGTCAAAGAACATTATTTATTTAACTTGTTCTCGTTGAGGATTTGAAACATAATAAATCCATTTCTGAGTAAGTTCTCTTTCGAATCAAAAGTATCATACAATGAATAAGAAAATTATCCTTCATTTTGTTGTGAAGTGTCATTTTCACATGTTTCATTGTTGAATGTCAATATAATACGAATTAATTTAGTCATCATAATGTAAGTACCCAACATTTCACTCTTAGTTAAGTGTTGGCATAACACAGCAGGTGTAGATACTTAAAACTGAGGCCCACACTTTATATCTAGCTCATAATATGGTACTCATATTCCAATGTAATAATGTTTTGATTTGAAAAATCTTGAGAATAGAACTACTCTGTAAGTGTGCAAATATCACTGATTATTAAATGATCTAAATGAATATTTAGGGTACAAAGACGCAATGACATAAATGAGTTCTTGAGATATGTAATTGAAGTACATGAAATCTATTGCCTCACTTAAAACATCGAAATGATAATAAATGCTCAACTGTAATTTAATTACTAGAACAGCGAGTGTCATACAATCTATATATAGATAAAA